GCTGCCAGAGCTCCAGGAGTGTTTGGACAAGGCTCTCAGGGATGCACAGGGTGGGATTGTTGGGATGTCTTGGGTAGGGCCAGGAGCTGGATCGATGATCCTTGTGGGTTCCTTCCAACTTAGGATATTCTGTGATTCTGTGATCTTTGGAAGAACTCCCTTTGACCCATTCCTGCAGAAACACTTGAACTTGTGTCCACCCTTCTGTAGCCAAAATGCCACCTCAGTTGCCTCTGTGAAGGCTGCTAAAATTGCACTCTATCATTCCCCAGTGTGGGCACCCAGCCTGTTTTAGAGATTCTGCCCATAACATCTGGTGTTCCTGTGACCTGCACATTTGTCCCACAAATTCAGGGCTGGCTGCACCACAGAGCTCATTGTCCTGGTGTCTGTTGGCTTCCTCAGCTTGGCTCTTCCAGGAACATCTCTGCATCAAATATCTTTTACTCATGACTTAGCAGCAGCTAAGCTGGACTCATAAAACTGCAGAATATCCTGAGTTGTAAGGGGCCCACAAGGATCATCAAGTCCAGCTCCTGGACCTGCACAGGACCACCCCAAGAATTTCATCATTTTGTTTCTAAAAAGGATTTTTGTTATTTTTTTAATGCATATAGGATCATAAAATCATAAAATGGTTTGGATTGGAAGGGACCTTAAAGATCACCTCATTCCACCCCTTGGCCATGGGCAGGGACACTCTCCACTATCCCACGTTGCTCCAAGCCCCATCCAACCTGGCCTTGGACACTGCCAGGGATCCAGGGGCAGCCACAGCTTCCCTGAGATCCTTGTGCCAGGGCCTCCCCACCCTCACAGGGGAGAATTTCTTCTGCATATCAGACCTAAATTTCCACTCTCAGTTTAAACCCATTTCTCCTTGTCCTATCACTTCATTCCCTGATGAAGAGGGATATGGAAAAAAACTTTGTGTTGCCTTAAAACTTTTTTGTTCTGCTTGTTCTGCTTTGATTTTTGGCCACTTTAAAATGGTCTTGTTTTATTAATTTGGAGGCTTGAGGAAAAAAGTTTCTCCCCTCTTAGTTATTAAATAAAACCAATATTTTTAGATGTGAAAAACTATAAATTCACTAAAGGAAATTTCCATGATTTTCTGAGTAATTGTGTTCTCCACAGCGCTCCTTTCCAGTGGGGGAAAAAAAAATAAAAATGGGGTGGGAGAACTACTCTGAATGGATTTTCTCATTTGTTTTTTCTCGTGAAGATAATTTTTAAAAGCATTAATCAGAAGTGAAACACGTTGGCGTGACGTACACTCAATTCAGCTGCCTTTATTTTTGAAAATAAAATTATTTTTTGACAATTGAATTTCAGCTGTGAAATGGGAACCAGCAGCTCTCTGTATCCAAAATTTGTCTGCAGGACTTTTTTGGGTTTTGTTCAGCACCTGCTGGCCCAAAGGATGGTGGCGTTGGCTGCCGAAGGTGTCGGAGGCAAGTGGGAGAGTGGGACTGGTGGAATTTGTAGGGATTCTGTGAATCCCCAGAGCTGCTCTAACCCCTTCTGTGCGTGGGTGGGAGCGAGTGACCTTTGTGGGAGGCTTGACCTGCAGTGGGCTGTGTTGTTCCCCTCTCTGAGCGGCTGTTGCACGGCTGTGTCTCCGACACTCGCGTGGGGACAAGGCTGAGCCTGCCCAAGGCTGCAGAGAGGTGTTTCCAGTCTCAGCAGGGTGCAGAAAGGGCTGCAATGTCCCCCCAGGGGTGCACAGGTCAGGTTGTGGTGCCCACTCCTCTCAAACACTGCCAGAGGAGCTGGGATGGCCCCAAGCCCTGGTGGGACTTGCCGAGGTTGATGTTCCTCCAGGCCTTTCCCTTTCTGCCCCACCTGTGCTGTCACCACGAGAAGATTCTTGGCCCAGTGGGAGAAGCAGGACACAGTGATGGTGTGGATGATTATGATTAGATTTACAGCTAATACAATAAATATTGCTCATGAATAAATAACAGCTCCATCATCTATTGCAATGTTTTAATGTCACCAGGTCGTAGTTTCTCCTGGTGAGTCATGAGATCTCCTCACTTTCTAAACTGCTCAAAGACAGCTAAGTGTGGCTCAAGCCACTTAGGCTCAGATTTGGTCAACAGGCTATGACTAAAGCATAACAGTGTAAGCAAGTTCAGCTAGAAATGTACAGATTTTCAGTCTTTGGCCCTGCAGAATTCACAACTGCAAAGCACCTGTGGATCTACTTTAGGATTTATCTCTGTATTTGAACAGAGAAAATTGAAAATGAAAATTAAATTTAAATTAAATTAAAATTGAAATTGAAATTAAAACTCACCCACCCAAAAGTGAGTGTTCCCCATCTTTGGGCTGCATGTCCTGCAGGTGTCCCTGCCAGGGTGAAGACCCATCCAGAAATTGCCTTCCCTCTTGGAAGACCAGCTGGTCCAGTGGGTCAAATCTCCAACAGAATTTTATACCCTTTTGCAGGCCCCCAAATAATCTCAAAAATAATAATAATAATAATAATAATAATAATAATAATAATAGTGTTTATTTATTTATTTATTTATTTACTTACTTACTTACTTATTTACTTATTTACTTATTTTGCATTACATTAATTATGTGAGTACCTGGTGTTCTTATTTTTGGATGAATTGCACCGCTCGACACAGGGAGGAAGGGGAGAGGGAGGATGTGTGTGGGAGGATATATTTGAGGGGTAAATATTTTTCGTTGCCATCACGCATTGAGAACAACTGGAAACCCCAGAAGAAGCATCCATGATCCTGTAGATGTCTCTCAGTCCTCCCATAAAATCATCCTTGTGACACAGCTGGCAGTCAAAGCAAATTGCTGACTTGTGCTGTGTCTCACTTTCCCTAAATCTGCCGGAAACACGGCAGTTGCATGAATTATCTCTCATTTGGGAGCAGAGTATAGCAAAGATCCCAGGATTTTCCAGTGAGACCGTAACAAGGACAACAAATCAATGCCAAACATGTAGGTGGATTTTCTGTCTTTCACAGCTGGTAATGAGTGACAGCTAAAACTTATCCATCATCCCACCTTTAATTAAAATGATACCTTGCTGTTCCCTGCATAAAAAGAAAATTCCAGCCACTCTCATGGCAAAAAACCCACGATCCAGAATCTGAAATCCTGGCACAAAGTTGTGAGTGGAAGAGCAGGAAAAGTTCCTCTAATGAATCATGTGCCATTGCCCCACCAGATCTGCTAAGCAGAGCAAGCTCTGGGTGCAACCTGGAGGCTGCCAGACGAAAATGAAATTGCTGCAGGAACTGCTCTGGTTGATTTAATAGGTGAAACTCCCCCTCTGACCATGCTGTCAGTGCCTGGAGCGGAGCTGAGGCCTGGGGACAGATGGATGTGCCATCTGTAAACTCAGGTCAAAGGAAATCTCAGAGATGAAAAAGTTTTGGATGGGGGGAAGTGTGTTTCGGGCTATCCTGAAATATTTCACCAGTTCCTTCTGTTTTGCACACCTTATCAGTGATGATAAAAATAAAGCAGAAGGGAAAAGGCATTAAAAAAAACCCAAAAAAAAACACCTTAAAATATTGTGATGGCTCCATTAGAAACCTCATTTCACAGTCCCAGATTTTGAAATATTAGATCCATGCTAGAAAGCAAAAAAAAAAAAAAAGAAAAAAAGGTTGTTTTTGCTGGAATATATTTCCCTGTGAGTCTGGCTTGCTTGAAGCTTTTCTGAACACACTGGTACCAAGACACAGTGCCAGACTGACATTTGGGGGATGTCCCTGGATCTGAGGTCCCTGATCCTCCATGATCACGGCAGACACTGAGGTATTTTGGCAAGAATAGGAGTCAATTTTGTCTCTGCACAGCTATGAGTATTCAGGGTTTGAATTTTGGGGGTTTTGGGGCATATAGCCCATACCTTCCAAAGCCTTTGGTTCAAAGCAGGGGTGGGGCAGACTTTGGCACTGGATGTTGCACTTCAGCAATGCTGGCTTCATCTGCTCCTTCATTTTTGAGGCTCCAAGCAGAGTTTGGCCATTTTGGCTACCCAGACCCATTATTATCCTCGAATTCCTGACTGGAGCTGAAAACACATTTCTAGGATGAAAGTCAAACGCTCCTCAAGCCCAAGTTTGGAAACCTTAATGCAGACCAGATGATGGTCCATGGAAAGGGTTTGATTCCTTTGTGTCTAGTGATCTTTGGGGTGTCCAGAAGGTCTGAGGTATCCATAGGGTATGGGGGAACCTAATCCATGATTTCTGGGAGAACCACACCTTGTGGGGACCCAGAGCACACCAAAAAGTACCCGACTATTGCAGATGGATGAGACAATCCCTCAGCCCACACTTTACAAGCAGGATGGATGCAAGCTGCACCACATTCCTAAAACTTCTTACAGTATTCCAAAGGGCCAAAGAGGTCCTGTGGCTTCCTGGACAAACCAGGTGTGAGTTTGTGCTGCTGAAACGTGAGGAGCAGCGGGACTGGTTCCGTGCACAGCCACATCTGCGTGCTGCCCTCGCTGCGTGGGTGGGACACGAGCTGCAGAAAGCTCTGAGCAGCCTGAGGTGACTCGCTCCTGGGCCAGGCACTGTGTGACCCTCCTGAAGCCCTGGTGCAGCTGAACAGCTCAGCACAGGGCTATTGATAAATCCATCTTCATCCCACTGGCATTGCCCAGCTCTGGAGCAAGTTCAGTATCAGGTGGGGATCTCTGAGTTGGAGAGGGGACATATCCAAAGCATTTCAGCCTTTTTTTTTTTTGTTTTTTTGGTGACTTACAGCATCTGTCTGAACCTCATTTGCCAAGTGTGAAACACCAGGGCAACAGAAACCATGGGGCTCACAAGGTCCAAGGTAGCAGGAGGACTGCAGACAGGATGGTTTTCAACTCCTCTCTTCCCTGTCCCATTGTCCTGCATTCTGATCTTCCCCACCTGCTTCTTCATGAATGCAAAGACTGTTTTGTGCCTGCACCTTTCCCCAAGAGCAGTCTCATTAAGAACAATTTCTGCTCTTCCTTCCAGGATGGGGTTGTTTGGCAGCAAAAATCAGCTGATGCCCAATGAGAAACACACTTCTGGAGGCAACCCAAAAACCAAGGGCAAACCTCCTCCTGCCCCACCCAAGGTAAGCCTGCAGTTTTGTGTCCTTTTGGGATCCCCTCACAGCTCAGCTGGTGTCTGGAGTGATGCAGGCAATATTTAGAATCACAGAATCACAGAATTATTTGGGTTGATGGCCGAAAGCCCATCCAGTTCCACCCCCTGCCATGGGCAGGGACATCTCCCACTATCCCAGGCTGATCCAAGCCCTGTCCAACCTGGCCTTGGACACTTCCAGGGATCCAGGGTCATCCACAGCTTCTCTGGAAAACCTGGTCCTCACAGCTGATCCCTTTTGGACAGGGATGGGAAGGGCTCCAAGAAACCTCTGTATATATAAAACCCCTAAAATACTGTGTATTGGTACTTTGAAATATCTTCTCATCAGCACTTTGAAACCCAGGCTGATGTTGCTGACTTGCAAGATGGGTCAGATTCAGGCTAAGATTCAAAGCTGCAAACCACAATGGAAACTTCCCCACTGTGAGTCCTCCACGGGCGCAGTGAAGGGGGTCTGCAGCCAGTCTCTGTCGGGGTGAGCTGAGACATCCTGGGCATCTGCTGCTCCCTTTGCATTGCCCCAGCCTCTGCTGGCGTGGACACAGAGCAGGAAGGAGCTGGGGAAGGGTTTGGGAGACCTCAAATGACAAACTTCTTGTTTAAACTTTGTGAGTCACTTCACCTCTGCTGCTGTCCAAAGGACATGAAATTGTTCTGTCTTTCCTTGCCCCTGCCAGCACTGCAGCCAGCAGCCAGCACAAGAGAAACTCGAGGTGCAACTCTCATGTGAAAACCACCTCGAGCCCTGGGAGAGGGGAGGAATTGCTAATCATTGCTTTGTATGACAGCTGGAGATGTTTTTCACACCTTTACTTTCTTTTCTGAGTTCTCCCATGGCTATTCAGTCCAGTTTTCATGACAGCAGATGTCAGATTGACAAAAAGATGTTATTTTCCTAAATTTCGTTCTCTCCAGCCCACTGGAGAGGAGCCACTATCAGTATAAATGCTGTATCACTGACCACCATTTGCCATTTGTTACTTTTTGCCACAGGCACTCAGCTCCAACATGTCAGGGGTAATCCAAATTTCTTCCACTTAAATGAGAAATGGCAGGGGATGAGCAGCTCTCCCACCCCACACTGCTGCTAAGTTGGGGTCAAAGGGTGGTGCAGGCAGAAAACATGAGGTGTTTTTAGTTCTGTGTCAGTATTTCACCACTTTTGCATGTGTATAAAAGTGCCTGCTGTGGTCAAACACCCACCACAGGCGGGTGAAGGCCAGTTTCAAACTGTTATCCCCCAAAATGTTCCATCCCAGCTCATTTGGAGTGATCTATGGACAATTTGCCAGCTCCAGCAGCAGGGCCAAACCAAACCAGGGACAAAGTCAACATTTTAAAACTGTGCCCAGATGAGTTGCAGTAACTTGTTGATATTTGTCTGTTAAAGCAGGTGCTGTTGGGGTCTCTGTGCAGGGTCCAGAGCTGGATCAATGATCTTTCTGGGCCCCTTCCATCTCAGGAATCATAGAATCATTGAATCACAGAATATCCTGAGTGGATATCCACAAGGACCATCGAATATTCTATGATTTCTGCAGTTCTCTGGTGAATTTGCTGTCGCAGTCACTGCCTCCATTTTTGAATGTAATCTTGAGCAAAGGATATCATATACCCATGATCCTTGGGACAATTATGGCAGACAGTATCTCTGTTTTTCTGCTTCAAACAATTCTGCAGTTGCTATTTCTCATTTGGACCATTCCTATCTCATCCCTCAGTGACCCGAAATCTGGCATCAGTGGACAGGGATTGGACAGAGCGGGCTCCAAATGAGTGGGCAGCAGATTTCTGCTTTAGCTCAGAAGGAAGCCAAGGGTTATTCCAGCTTTCTGTGGAGACAGCTATGAACACCTCATGGCAAAATGTGCTAAAGCCATCACGACATGTGGAGCCAGGCACAGGGGCTGCTGACTTACTCTGGACCAGACTCCCACTTGTTTGTGAAGCTGAAATCAGTTCTTCCTGAAACACAGCAAAGTAATAAATATCTCCTTTTTTCCTATTTCCATCACAGGGGAGACAAGCTATCAACAACCCTCATCTAAACCAAGCCTCTGCACAAGGTAAGGTTCTGCTTTCTTTGCCTCCCTGTGGGGTTTTGCAGGGTGGTGGTCCCCAAATGTCAGGGTTTGAGGACAAGCCATCACGTCACTGGCCTGTGGTTTCTGCATTCGCAGCTGTGCCAGACGGGGAGTTTATCAGATTGGTTCAGAAAACTCAGTTTACATCACCAAGCCTTTGCAGCTGCCAATTTCCCCCTGCTCATCAAGGAAACCAAGAGGGAAAAGCAGTCCCTCTCCTTTGGAGCCAGGTGATCTTTAAGGTCGCTTCCAATCCTGTGATTCCACGGCTGGCGGAGCAAAGGGAGACCTGAGACTGGAGCTGTGTGAGATTTCTCTGCCCTGTCTGCAGACTGACAAGTCACGGATGCTTTATCCAGCCAGCTGAAAGTTTCAGAGGAAATAGCAGGCATCAGAGAGCCCAGAGAGGCTACAAAGAGAAGGAGAAGAAAGGAAAGAGCATTAAATAAGGATACACAGAGCCCCTGCCTGGAGACGGGCTGCTGGCTTCATCCACCTCTGCAATTATCTGTGGGTCACAGATGGTGTTTGGAGATTATTGTCTTTTAGCAGGGAGCCCCCAGCTCCTTCTGCCCAGCCTCCAACAGCAGCTCATGTGTATTTCTGTCAAAGAAGTTCTGCAGATTAAGGACAGAGACAGAGATAAGTAGAAGAGGGGGGAAAAAAATAGAGGAAGCTTGGAAGAGGGCAGTTAGCAACTCATGGAAGTTCTTCATGTGGATGAAAGGGTAGGATTAGGGGAGATGGTGTGAGGGAAGAGAAAAGGGGGTGGTGAATAAATGGGAATGATAGTGTTAGGTCCTCTTAGGTCGTATGGATGGTGATGGAGGGTTCCTACCATGGGCCAAGCACAGGAACTCCTGCAGCATCAAAATATTCTTCAAATTTGGCTTTTGTTATGGAGATCAAATTTGTGGGAGGTGAAGATCCTCAACCATGTGAGCTGGGGTGTGTTTTCATGGAAATACCATTTTTCCAGAAATTCTTTTGCTGAATTGTTTTCATGGCACATTTCTAAGTGGCCGTGCTCTCCCACCTCCCCAGCTGAGCAGGGATTGACAGTCTTTCACAGGATTTTTATCACAGGGTTTTTATCACAGGGTTTCTATCACAGGGTTTTTATCACAGGATTTTTATCACAGGGTTTCTATCACAGGGTTTTTATCACAGGGTTTTTATAACATGTTTTTTTCCCCCGCTCTGGGTCAGAGTCACAGCAGAAATTGTGATCAGGGAGGCAGATTTTACTTCTCCTTCATGCCTGAAGGCAGAAGTGGAAAGGTGCTAAAAAAATGGATTAAGTACAATATTAGCCATTTTCAGCTCTCAAAATGAATTTTGTTCATTAGATTCAGTTCCAGTTCTGGAGGAATATTCACACTGACAGTGTGGAAAGCTTCCTATTTTTCTCTGCCAGTGTCTGAGTTTTCTGAAATGATGGTACATCTGACTGTGCCCTGTGTGGCAAAACGGGCTGATAAGAATCATGCAAGATATTTGAGATACCAGAGATCTTCTAAGTGACAGCAATTCAAATGAATCTAAAGAGAAAGCACAAAATCCAGGCAATCACATCATATAAAAAAATAAATTCAGAGAGATGAATTAAATCCAGTGGGAGCACTTTAAATTCAATCAGGAAAAAATATTGGCTATGGATGTGTGGCATGTAATGTAAAATCAACCCTTTCTTTTCCTTTTTTTTATTAATTTTTGTTTTGGGTTTTTTTTTTTATCTCCTTGCATTTTGAATGATTTTTCTTTGGTTTTTTTTCCTGATCTTGAGTTGTTGAAATTGTCTCACACTTCCCAGTTTTCACACCCCTGTCTCAGAAATCATTTATTTATTTATTTTTAACAAAAAAAACCTAATTCCTCCTGATATTATTTATCCTCATGGAAGTAACACAAAGGCAGCCAAGGGGTGCAGAACTCTGGATTCAATGTGGTCCATGTGGCATCACCAATCCTTTATTCATTGGGGGAGGTTCTTCCATGGTGTGAGTCTCCCATTCATTTTAACACCGTTCCCTGAGCAATCACAAAGTTTTTAAGGCTGGTTTTAAGTCTCTTTGGTGTCAAAATTTTAATTCTGAACCCCCAAAGCCCCCGACACTGCAAAGTCCTGGCCCATGGTGAGCCCCAAACCCAAGAATCCCATGGTAGAGCTGCTGTTTGCTTGCTTTGGATGGATAAGACGTAGAAAATAGGCTGCATAACCCCTGGTCTTGCCCTGCCAGCTGCTCACAGCTGGATTTAAATCCCACTGATGGAAAGAGTTGGTGGTTTTGGGTGCTTGTCCTCAGGGATTTTAATAACCTGAAGCAGCACAAGGAGTCAAACTCTCTGCGAGGCCACTTCTTCTCATGAGGAACCACAACTTCTTCTACCTCTTCACTTTCTTCTTTCTGACCAAAATATGATCAAGACTGAGTTTCAGATCCAGATGCTCTGGAACTTGAGGTCTTTTGCAGCATCTCAAAGTTCATGCTGAAATTCTTGGTCGTTTTTGTTGTTGTTACATGAATGTGGTTTTGCACTTGAAAGGAATGCTGTCAAAAATGTGAATTTGAGATGAGGTGGGAAAAGGAAGGGTTGTTTCTACTGAAAAGGATGAGTTTTTAGTGAGAAATTAAAACCTCTCATCAAAAATGTTTACCTTGATCTGGAGCACATCTGAGGAAAAGAGGCTGAGGGAGCTGGGAAAGGGGCTCAGCCTGGAGAAAAGGAGGCTCAGGAGGGAACTTCTGGCTCTGCACAACTCCCTGAAAAGAGATTGTAGCCAGGTAGGGGTTGGGCTCTTCTCCCTGGTAAAAAGTGAAAGGACAAGAGGAGATTTAACCCACCAGGGGAGGGTTAAATTGGATATTAGGGGAAAAAAAATCACAAAAAGTATTATCAGTCTCCAGATCAGGCTGCCCAGGCAATGGAATCACCATCCCTGGAGGGATTTAAAAGCCACAGGAATGTGGCACTTGGGGACATGGTTTAGGGGTTGCCTTGGCAGTGCTGGGTTGGACTTGATGACCTTAGAGGTCTTTCCCAAGTTTAGGATTCAGTGATTCCAGCCCATGCCAGGCTGAGACAGAGAGCTGACCCCATTTCCAGCAGCAGTAACCCACAGCTCAGTGCACCCAGCTGCCCAACGTGTCCTGCAGGCTGCCACTGACACCAGGACCATCCTAAAAGGGCTCCAAACCAACAGCTGATCCTCTGGGACACCCTGGCACAGTCTGAGCCCAGCTTTGTGGCCATGAGGTGGTTGCAAAGTCCTTCCATTCAGGACAAGCCAGCAGTGGGAGGATTGGTTGAATCACCCCCATCGAGCCACCAAGCTGGCGCTCAGCCTCCGCAAACCCTGCTGGTATCAGACTTTCCTGACAGCAGCTCCCAGCCAGGATGTGTTTGGCTCCCAATCAAAGCCTGGGGCTGGCAGCTTTATCTGCAGAGCCTCTCGTGGCCCAAGTGGATCAAACTGGCCAAGGCAGTGCTACCCATGGGTTTCTCCTGGCGTGATGGACTCAGGGACAGGAAGAGCCCCTTTCATCATGAGATGGCAACTCCTGCTGGCTTGGGCAGAGAGAGCTTTTCTGCTGGCTCGTTTCAGTGTTCTCAGCGCCTGTTTTGGGATAAGAGGTGATAAAGCATTTTTTTCAGCATACAAACCCTTTTTGTCCTTGCTGTATTCCTTCTTTTTAACTTCATTTATTTTCACTTACGTCAGTCACTTTGAGATCAAAACTCCGTTTTCATTTTCTGGAGTACACAGCCACTCTGGACTTGGCGGTATTTCCACATTTGCTCCCGTTTTTCCAAGCAGGAGCGTGATCACTGCATTATTTCCCTTTGCAGAGGAGCGGGAGGGTGTGTGTGTGGATCACAGGCTGGCTGTGGACACCTCACAGGAGGCGCACGCCCCAGAGCCTTTCATGTCTGAGCAGATGTGCGATAACAACTTTCTCAAGGAGGCAGACAGAGTTTGGGTGCATTGCTAATTCGAGCTGCCTCAAGGGGAAGCCCCCAACCGTGCCAGCTATTTTCAGACTTCAAAGCATCCTCCCTCGTGACTGATCATCCTTTTCCCATCCTGGGAGAGAGGCTCTGCTGGAGCCTCTCATGGATCTCCGATTTCCTTCTCAAAAGCCTGCAGGGAGCTGCTCAGGGCTCTGCTTTCCAGAGCTGCCTTTTCTCCCATGCTGACCCTTTCTCCTCGCTAACAAATTGCCATTGGAGCAGCAGCCAGCCCTGCACAGACACGAACCCCAAGTTGCCCCAGAGACAGGGTTATCTTGCTGTGACAAAGGGCCAGTCTGGTTCCCTTGCTGGTGGCATTATTTGAAAAGGTCACCCAAAGACAGTGGCTTGACAGGCTGTTTTGAAAAATGCTAATAATAGGCTGTCCATCGGTCTCCATGCATTAATTAGGCTGAGCCTTTCTGCAGCACAGTTCCCATTCTTTCCTTTTCTTTTTTTCTTTTTTCTTTTTTCTTTTTTCTTTTTTCTTTTTTCTTTTTTCTTTTTTCTTTTTCTTCTTTTTCTTCTTTTCCTTTTCCTTTTCCTTTTCCTTTTCCTTTTCCTTTCTCTTTCTCTTTTTCTTTAAATTTTAATTTTTATCCTATTTTTTTCTTTCTCTTTATTCTCAATCTTTTTCTCCTTCTCCTTCTCCTTCTCCTTCTCCTTCTCCTTCTCCTTCTCCTTCTCCTTCTCCTTCTCCTTCTCCTTCTCCTTCTCCTTCTCCTTCTCCTTCTCCTTCTCCTTCTCCTTCTCCTTCTCCTTCTCCTTCTCCTTCTCCTTCTCCTTCTCCTTCTCCTTCTCCTTCTCCTTCTCCTTCTCCTTCTCCTTCTCCTTCTCCTTCTCCTTCTCCTTCTCCTTCTCCTTCTCCTTCTCCTTCTCCTTCTCCTTCTCCTTCTCCTTCTCCTTCTCCTTCTCCTTCTCCTTTTTTCTCTCCTTCTCCTTTTTCCCCTCCTTCTCCTTTCCTTTCGTTTTTCACCACAGTGTTTTGGTTTGATTTTCGTGATCCTGTGCATGTGCTGATTCTTTGTATAAATTTTGATTCTCCCCAAAATAGCTGTTCTTTTCTGCTTCAGCAGCTCAGAGCGTGCAAAGCACAGGGGAAGGGTTGCACATCTTCCCTGAGAGCAGCCCCGGCACCCCTGGGCTTTGCAAACCGAGAGCTTCAGCTGCAGCCCCGGGCTGTGTCAGAGCATCGTGGCACAGGACAAGGCTCACAGCAAGGAGAGAGAGGGAATTTTCATATGGGCAGATAGTGACAGGATGAGGGGCAGTGGTTTTAAACTGGCACAGAGCAGGTTTGGGTGAGAGGTGAGGAAGGAATTGTTCCCTGGCACAGGTAGCCCAGAGAAGCTGTGTCTGATCCATCCCTGGAAGTGTTCAGGACCAGGCTGGACAGAGCTTGGAGCAGCCTGGGATAATGGGAATTCTCCCTGCCCAGGGCAGGGGGTGGAATGAGATGATCTTCAAGGTCCCTTCCAACCCAAACTATTCCATGATCTGCAAGGAAAAGTGCTCAAGAGGGAGGGATGACAAGATCCTCAAGGAGCCCAGAGCACAGGCCACAGACCATGAACCCAGGGAGAGTTAAATCCCAGAAACAGCCTCAAATAACAGAGACTGCAATGACTTTATGCTTTTTCAATCAAAAAACCCACATCATTTAAAGTCAAATTCCACAGCCACCCCGGGAAGTGTTGCAGTTTTCATTTACCACTGTGTAAAACTCAGACTCAATTCTGACAGGTTATTTATGACCCTTCTAATTCCACACAAGTCCCTTTTTCTTGTTGGCATTCTGGGTTTTGTGGATGGGGGGCTGGTTCTGCAGTGTTTTAAAAATATGTACCCAGAAAATGCTTTGTTGAATCAGTGTTAATCCCTAAGCAGAGGTTGTGGGGAGCAGGAAAACTGGGTTGGTGGAAAGGTTGGGTTGGGGGGTGGGAGGGTGACAGAACCCCGTGTTTAGGGGCTGAAATGCCCCACCAGACACCCAGGTGTGCATCAAGCTGCTCAAGGAGCAGCCTGGATTCAAAGGCGTTAATTCTTCTTTCAGATCACTTGTTCGTGGTTGCACTGTACGATTTTCCTGCCTCAAGTGACCGTGACCTGGAGCTGGTCAAGGGGGAGAAACTCCGGGTCCTCTCCAAGTGAGTGACCTGCTGCCAGGAGGGAGCTCAAAGATGAGCACGAGGAGGCTGGGAAAGGGGGGACCTTGGGGTCAGACACCACTTTGCAGCTGACCAGAGCTGAGCCTGTGCCTTGGCTTTGCTCCAGAGCGTGGCTGCAGGCTCTTCTCTGCACAGCGACACTTGCGCGGGTCACAGATGCTCTGGGGCTGGGTATTGTCCCTGCCTGGGTGCTACCAGGACCCTCTTTGCCATCAGTGGGTGCAGAAGCAGCACAAATAACAACAACAGAAAAAACAGCTCCTGCCCTGTGTTTGTGCTGATTCTGCTTCTGCAAAGGATGTGGGTTGGGTGTAGTCAGAGGAAAGGACAGGACCGAGCCAGACACTTGTGAGGTTTCATTTCAACTTCTCAAACTCACCACAGAGGAGGCCCAGTCCATAACAGGGCAGAGGTGGGCTTGGGGCCCCCTCAGCAGACCCTGCAGGGCTGCTCCACCCCTGGCTGCTCTGTGAAGTGGCCTCCAGAGGTGACGTTTCTCACCCAGACACTCTGGATTGGGACCTGTGGGACAAGGAGGTGGAGAAGCGCTCACATGGGGATGGCTTTGGGGCATGGCTGGTGGCTCAGGCAGCAGTGGGACAGCAAGGTGAGGTATCTGGAGCACAAAGGAGGGAGCAGAAAGGACCCCATTGCCCTGTTCAAGAGACAAAATAAACCCCATGACCCTGATGCCCCTCCTCTCACTCGAGGTGTGCGGCAAAGGTTTGGGTCTGTGGTTGCTCCTCTTTCATGGAAAGAGATTTTCACCTCCACAAGTCCCTGAAACACCAACAGCCTCCAACCTGGTTTTGGTCCTAGGGAATCCAGAGGGAGCTGCAGAGCAGATTATGGAGTCTTAGTCCATCTGCAGTGCTCCAACCCCACGATCCCTGTCCTCACAACCTCAGCTTGTCCCAACATCTCCTCTGGGCACTCACACCTTCTCCTCTGCTCCCTTTGCAGTGAGGGGGACTGGTGGCTGGCACAGTCCCTCAGCACTGGGAGGAAAGGATACATCCCCAGCAACTTCGTGGCACAAGTGGACAGTTTGGAAGAGGAAAAGTAAGTGGGAAAGCTTTTGAGAGATCAACACAGATGCAGTGCCCTGGATCTCAACAAGCTCCAGGAGGAGATTTATTGATGGCAGGAAGATGTCACTGCTGGGCTGGATGGCAGGAGGTCTTTCCTCATCCTAAACAATGCTGCCCAAAATCTCAGGACAAGTTTTTAATCATCATATTGGTGTGGAAAGAGAGGATGAGGTTGTTGTGGGGAAAGTGGGAAAAGGTTCTTGTCCCATTGGTTACACCCACTGTGGGAAACAAGGATTTGGGGGAGGATGACAGAAAGGTTATGGGGGCAGTGCCAGGGACCATCTTCTGGTCCACCCACACAAATGGTGTTAAACCTCTTCACCTTCCATATGTAAACTGGGAATCTCTGGATGGGGTGCACTGATCCAGGTCTGGGATCTGCCAGGGACCACACCAACAATTTAACAAGGCAGAAAACTGAGTGCCAGTGCCCAGACCCATTTTAAATGGGCTCATTTTAAAAGTGCTGCTTTTAAAATGAGCCCAGGTGCAGCCTCCCTGCAAGGAAGATCGAATGAAAGGCTGGAGCCAAAAGAGTTTATTTTGCCTATAATACTAACAGAAGGGGATTTTTTTTTTCCATGAGTTATCTTCCTCTATGGAATTCAGCTCTAAATGATCAGTCCTGCCTGCAATCTCTTCTTGGAGAGACCCAACCACCACTGAGTTCAGCAAATATTTAGCAGCTCACAGAAAGGTGACTGAGACATAAAAGCTCTTTGTATCCAAAGCCTGAACTTCTGTGTATGGGATCCAGCACATCCCATCTACTCCCCACACTGTCTGAATTTCCAGGCTGTGAAACAAGCCCAAAGTGACCCAAATCTGGTGTTAATCTACCCAAAACAATCTATTACTTTCCAGCAGATACAAAACTACTTGATGATAAAAACAACCCTCAGTTTCACAGTGTAATAATAAAAAAAAGAAAGAACTAAGTTGAAGAATTTCCTTTTTCTTTAGAGTTTTTCCTTTTCAAGCCATGATTTTGCTTTTTCTGTCTCCCAGGTGGTATTTTAGAACTCTGAGCAGAAAAGATGCTGAACGGCTGCTGTTGTCTTCTGGGAACAAAGTTGGCTCTTTCCTCGTCCGGGAGAGTGAAACCACCAAAGGTGAGACCCGTGGAGCAAAGGTAACTCCTCGTCATTGTCCAGACTTGGAAAACCTTCAGCAGGGCTCTAGGAGTGAGCTGAGGGTTTGGAGGGCAAAGATTTGCTCATGATGCCACTGAGACTTGCAGTTCTGGCTGTGGTGAGAGTGGTTCTTCCATCAGAGTTCGTGGCAGAGACACAGGAACACAAATAAGCAGGTTTTCCAAAATAGTTCAGAGGTTTTCTTTTCCTTTTCTTCCCTCTCTCTTTTCTTTTTTTTTTTTTTTAAATATATTTCTCTACACTCCTGAAGGAGTATTTCTCCTGTTTGCAACAGAAACTTGAAGAATTTTTTGGAAAATATGTCATTTTCCCAGGGGAAACATGTTTTTCCTGGTACCCTCTAGCAAGGGGAATTCATACAAGCCAGAACTCTTGGAAGGAGACTGACTGGAGCAGGATAGATGGATCTCATCCATTTTCTTTCCATATGAACACATCTGACTTTTGAAAAAGTGATCCAGTGAAGATGGAAAGGCCAGAGCATTGCACCCACTCCTCTTGGGCAGTGGATATCATTATTAAACATAATATATAAATCATTATTAAACATAATATATAACCATGTAATTCAATTCCTTTGCTCAGTGCTATTAATTCATAGAGTCTGGAAATCAGTTTAGGTTGTCCCATGGGAATTTCATATTGTTTCTTTCCTACTTTTTTTCTCTTTGCTCCCTCTGGGCCATCATGTGTGCTGACAGCACAGAGGAACTGATGATCGTGGTGGTCCCGTGGTTCTGCTCTGAACCAGATCCATGGAGTACTTCAGGAAAGTGTTTCAGTCTTGCTTCATTAGGTTCCTTTCCCTTCAAATGGATGCAGGACTTTTTCCTTAAGAAAAGGTGCTTTGTGTCTTCCCAACAGAATCAAGAAGTTGTTTAGGTTGGAAAACCGCTAAGATCACAGTGTCCGGCTGTGACTTGTTCAGTGGAGAGCTGGAGCATCCGTCTGAAATCCTATGGAACCTTCTTTTTGACTTGTTTCCCAAATACTTCCAAAGGCCCAAACAGTCAGAGAGGGAACATTCTGGTTCCTCCATCCTACAAAAGGCTCTATGGTAGAGTCTCCTTCTGCCTTTCTTGTCTCTTTTTTCCTCCTGTTCACAAGGGAGGTCTCCAAGGCAGCATCTGTTCATTCCACCATGGAGGTGTTCCTTCCACCACTTTCCTCCAGAAAATTAAATAGTGCCAGGGTCTAGATGCAGCAGCTGGAATCTCATCCAGTCTCTGTCTCCCTCAGCTGCCAGGGATGTGGTGCTGTGTCACACTCTAGCATCCTGCTTTGAATTTCCCCCTCTGCCCCGTGCCTGGGCTCACCTCCACACGTCCCTGCTGAGCTGATGCCAAGCAGGAGAGCTGCTGTCCATAAGGATTTGCAGCTTTCAGAATTTTTAGGGATTGTTCAGTTCAGGAAACAATTAAGATATTTATTTTGAAGCATTTCACTTTATAAGTCACTTTTTCTGCTGTATCTCAGTTTCCCTGCTACCTTTGTGGTGCTTTTGCAATGATCAGGCTTGGATTTATCACCACGTGCTGCTCTTCTGTTTATCCCACTCCCACTCTCCCTTTGTTTGCTGGGGTATTTGGGGAGCAACACAAAGCAAACACTCGTGTGCTGTGTCTGAAGCTCTGCCCACACATGATCCTGGTCTCTGTGGCATGTCTAGGTGCCACACATGCATGGGATCAGACCTTTCCCTACAATTTTCCCCAACTTCTGCAATTTTATGGAGTGTGGGTGGGTCTTGGTCACACAGGGCTCGAGCACAGGTGGTGGAGTCCTGAAATGCAAGGAGAAATCGCTGGATCCTTGATGCCCTGTCTCTGCTGTCAGGAAGAATGAGGTGTGTGATATTCTGCATTAGCAGATTTGGGTTCCCCTTCATGGAATCCCCATGTGATTTCCAGATGCTCAGATGTGTCTCTGCCCTGTGCCTTTTCTGATATTTAGGATAAAACGTGGGTGTTGTTGCTTCAAACACCTCAATCATCCTGTGTGTCCAGCTGCTACCTGAGCACCCTGTGCTTTGGGCTGCCTGAATGATCACATTTGATCCATCTTAGCAACAGCTTCCTCCTCCCTAAAGAGGAAGGGAAAAGACAAAGCCAGGCATCTCCAAATGTGCCATGGAGCTGAATTCCCTGACATAAAGCACTCTGTGCCCCACCAAGAGATATCCAGAGCAATAGATTCAATTAACCATGGAATTAACCCTAGCCTTGTAGCCCCACAGTTTTTCTGTTTTCATTCACTTGGCACATCACCAGCAAAACTGGACCTTCAGGGACAAGCACTGGGCTGAGCTAAATCCCATTAGTGACCTAAACTGGGAGGTGGCTGTCTCATACTGGGATGTCTCAGGCACGGGGCAGGATGGGTTCTGCACCCTGACTGGGGCAGCACTAATGCCCTGCCCATCCTAAGCAGAGTCTTGTTTTCCTCGTGGTTTGAGATGCAGAAACTCTGCAAATCTTCAGAGTCAACACTTGTCAGAGTCCACGAAAGGCACATCCAGCCCCCTGGGAAGCTGGGACAGTGTGGGAAGCGGGCCGGCAGTGAAATCATCGGCGGAGCACTGTCCTTGCTGAGGCTGCTGCAAATAAACAAAGTCCCCCTGAAGTAACAATCATTCCCAAAGCTGCAGGATCACATTCCCCCAGCTGTGCAGAGCCAAGGGCTCCTGGCTCCCAGCAGGATTCCTGTGTCTCTGCTCCTGGCAGGAGGGACCTCACTGAGCCCAGCCTCTGCACCCAGCTGAGCTCCTGCGCTTCCCCTTGGGAAGGATTTAAGGGGCTGCTGAGAGCTGGAGGAGCAGGAAATGGACTAAACCAGGTCCCCAGGTGCCACACCTATGTGGCTTTTAAACCTTTCCAGGGATGGGGACTCCATCACTGCCCTGGGAAGCTGTGCCAGGGCTGGTCAACCTTTTGATGCAGAAATTGTTCCATGAATTTTGTACTCTCGACTCTACCAGCCCAGATCTGTGCCAGGATGTGGTGCAGGACTGCAGAACAGGTGAATATCCCTTGTGGCTGAGGAGCAAGGACTCCTTTTGTCTCTCCTGCATATCATCAGAGGGAATCAGGAGTCAACGATTTTCACTTTCTGCTGTCGCTGGGAGCAGGGACCAGGTTAGATGGGGCATGGAGCAGCCTGGTGTAGTGGAAGGTGTCTCTATCCATGGCAGGAGGTGGAACAAGATGAATTTTAAGGATCCTTCCAACCCAAGCCATTCTGTGATTCTGTGAAGGAAGAAGTGAATCTTTCCAGCTTTAGTGCATTGCCTCTGCACAGCAGCTCCCAAGGGAACTGGCCGTGGACAGTGACAGGGAAGCTCCACCACGCTCCCCGCAACAAATTAAACTGTGACTGGGGCTGAGATCCACTCATTAGCTTAATGACAGGGTAAGAATTAGCCCTGGCAGCTGAGATTGTCCCTGTCTCTGTTTGAAAGGTGCAGGAGAGTTTAAAGGGTTGGTGGGGCCTGGAAAGGAGATCCTGTGGGAGCAAAATATTTAGGGTGCAACCACACTGGCAGCCAGGGCAGGTCTCCTGTTCCCTGCTGACTCTCAGCCCTCAGACACCCCCTTACAGATGTGTTTGTCATCAATTCCTGGATTTCCTTCTGCAGGATTGTTTGGCCTCAGTGCAGCTGCCTCCACACCACGTTTGGCTCCTTCCTTGAGCAGGCCTGGCCCTGTAAAAATCCCACACAAACCCTAAGAGGGTCCCAGGCACACCAAGAACCCTCTCAGTCTTGTGCCACGTGAGCCCAAAGCTCCTGGGCTGCAGCCTGGCCTGGGCAGTATTTCTGTCTCATTGAAATTAAAACAACATCATCACCCTCAACAGCAATAATGGAAGTTAATAATAGTAATAATAATAGTAACAGTAACAGTAATAGTAATAGCAATAGTAATAGTAATTGTAATAATAATAGTAATTAATAGTAATTGTAGTAATAACAATAGTAATTAATATAATAATAATAATAATAATAATAATAATAATAATAATAATAATAATAATAATAATAATAATAATAATAATATAATGTTGTCATCATTGTCATATTCTTCCTCACAGACTCACAGAATCATTAAGGTTGAAAAAGATCTCTTAAGATTACCGAGTCCAGCCTTTGGGCTTGATGTTTATCATCATTATTTTGCAACTTAGGGCCACATGGGTGCCACAGAGGAGCCAGCAGAGCCATTTCTTTGCCTTTCCCTCGAGGTTTTATTGCCCCATTGAAGATGTCCCAGGGCTGTTTCTCAGTTGTTCCGCTCCAGGACTGATCAAATCAAAAGGGCTTCTCGATTTGTCTCCTGCCTGATATTCATGGTGAAGGAAAGAGAGTCAGAAGAGCTTCCTCTGCTGAGGAGACCACCACATCAAATTTGAGGTTCCCTGGCTCTGCATTTAAGCCACCAGGTTTTTCCATGAATTTTACACTGCTAGATCTGGTCTCTGCAGGGAGGGAGTCCCCTCAAAATGATTACTGGCACTTGGAAATAACTTTAGGCTCTTCCAAATTCTGCTTGTAAAGATTTATGATCACTCCAACAGAGCAATTATCCATGGAGGTGAGGGGTTTTTTTGCTGCTTTTTATAAGTGCAAATGGTTTTCAGGCACAGTGTAAGGAAAACTGCTGGTTCTGGGATGGAGGAACACCAGCCAGTGAGGATTTTTATGTTAATAAATTTTTCCCTCACGTGCAGGATTTGGGTTTCAGAGTTGTTGTGGATGGCCCTGCTTCTTTTTATGGTCGTGCATGAACAGACACACACTTTTAAACATGTATAGCCTTGCCTTTTCATTAAAAAACATCAAAAATGGGCAGTTTGTCAGCCCAGGTGACATATCAGAACAGCCAAGCGGGCTTGTAACGACTCACTCCAGAAATATGACCCAGACAAAAGGGAAAAATCCCCACTGCTAAGCTGAATTGAATCACACTGACTCAGGCTGGAAGTTCTGCTCTGCAGCAACACCTAGTGATGCTTTTGTGCACTAAAAACCCAACCTCTTTGGAGCTTTAGATTCTCACGGAGGGAACAGCAGGTTGGAGTGGTGGATGGCTGAGCAGTTGCCTGGAAGCCCAAAAGGGACAAGATTCCAGATGGGAATCTCTAGATCTGACTTGGCCACAGTCACAAGTTTGTGGCTGAACAAAACAATTCACCTGAACCCACCTTCTGCACCCCCCAGGTTGAACCACTGACCTTGGCACAAGGTTTAATAATGTTTAATCCAGAGAAGAATGGCTTTAAATGGCTTTAAATTGATAGAGGGTTGTTTTAGATTTGATGTTAGGAAGAAATTCTTGGCTGTGAGGGTGGGGAGGCCCTGGCACAGGGTGCCCAGAGAAGCTGTGGCTGCCCTTGGATCCCTGGGAGTGTCCAAGGCCAGGCTGGATGGGGCTTGGATCAGCCTGGGATAGTGGAAAGCATCTCTGCCTATGGCAGGGGGTGGGACTGGATGAAATTTAAGGTCCTTTCCAACCCAAACCATTCAGATTCACCATGCTGAGTTTGGCAGAGCTCAGATGGGAATATGGAGCTGTGAAAAAAATCATCCTGACCTAGGGAGCATCTGATTGCTCTGCCTGGAGAGGTGCTGCTGGTCCCCACAGTGCTTCCATGGGGCTGTTGGCCACGGCACAGGCAGCTGTTACTCCAGCAAGCCTGCACAGGACCAGTTAAGCTCTGATGAACTTTTATCCTGTCCCCTGGCCTCGAAGAGAGGGAAGTGTGGTGCAGCTGTGAATTCTGGGGGACTTGCCCTGGAAAGGCATCAGCCAGGGCTGGTTTGGAAAGCCAGGGCAGCCAAGGGAACATTCAGCTGGGCCCTGACTGGGGGGCAGTTTGTCCTCACAGCTCCTTCTGTCCTTCTCCAGATGCCTACTCCCTGTCTGTGAGAGACAACGACTCTGCTCACGGGGACATCATCAAACACTACAGGATCCGCTCCCTGGATGGGGGGGGGTACTACATCTCCCCCAGGATGACTTTCTCCAGCCTTCCAGAGCTCATCCATCATTACAGCCGTGAGTTGTTTGCCTTCCCTCATGGATCTGTGTCCTGGAAGAGAGCAGGGACAGAGGGAGGATGGGCTTGGGAGACACCACAGCTGCTCTCATGGGCCAGGTGTGATCCTACAACCAGAACCCTGGTTTCCATCCCAGGGAATTGCAAGGGGGAGCTCTGTCCCCAGCCCTAAAGTCAGGGAGTTTCCAAACTCCTATCAGGAAAGGAAAGAGGTGAATGCTGTCAGGATATGCAGGAGGGATGCATGGGGAGCAGGGTTTGGAATAACTGGGCAGGATAATTTGCTCCTCTATGGCTCCTTTGAGCTTTTCCCTTTGACTGGGACCATTCTGTGTGCCTTGATCCCCGTGGCTGAAACTTTTCATGAAATCATAGAAGTATAAATGTTGGAAAAGCCCCCTAAGAGCACTGAATCCAGCTGTTCCCCCTGGACTGCCAAGACCCCCCCTAACCCATGTCCCCACCTGCCACATCCACATAGCTTTTAAATCCCTGGAGGGCTGGGAACTCCACCACTTCCCTGTGAGGTTGTGGAGGTTTCCACAGGTTGATTTTTCCTGGCATTCATGGATGGAGAAGGAGGTTTCCTCTGCCATCCCACTGAACTCTCCTGTGCTTTGTCCTCATCCAGAGAAAGGGGATGGGCTGTGCCAGCGCCTCACAGCTCCCTGCACATCCCTGGTTCCCCAGAGACCCTGGGCCCAGGATGAGTGGGAGATCCCTCGGGAGGCCCTGAAGCTTGTGAAGAAGCTGGGCAGCGGGCAGTTTGGGGAAGTGTGGATGGGTAAGTGGAATCCCCTCCATTCCAGGAAAAAAAGGCTTAAGGAGAGAAAATGGAAAGCTCTTTTATTTCCCTAAGGCAAGGCTATCCTGGGGGTGGGGATTCTTGAGGACAAACACATATTTATGGGTACACTCACAGGAGTAGCTGCAGAATTGCTGGGAAGGACTGGGCAGCTCATGTTTGCACAGATCAGTGGCTGAGCAAGGGCTTCACAGGGGATGTGTGTTGAAGTCACTATTTACTCTTCTCCTGGGATATGCACTCATTCTTCCTGGGAATCCTGGGCACAACTGTAGTGATGCCAGTGATCCTAAGTCACACCCAGTAGGGTACCTGGGTGACATTTTCCCACTTTTTCTGCCTCCCTGTTCCACTTTTTACCCCAGATTTCCATCCCTGATGCCTTCCTGCCTTCTGCTAATCAGCAGGAGAGGAAGATGGGGGAGCTCAGCTTCCTTTGCCACTCTCTTTGTGGTTGCTGTCTGCCTTGGAAATTGAGATTGTGGACAGGGCTGGGCTGAGTTCATGTGCTGTCTGCACAGTCCTGCCTTTTTGGATGGCATTTGGATGATTTGAGAGCCCAGCTGGCGGGAGGCCCCAGGGGTTTCACCCAGAATGGGTCTGGGAGGGTGGTGTGAGGATGGGCTCAGGGCAGGGATGATCCCTGGTGCAGCCTCATGGACTGAGAGCTGTGGCACGAGTGTCCCTTCTCCTCTCACACCTGCTGGCACTGACAGTTACCTTGTGTTCCTTTATGAGGGATTCAAGCTGTTCCTGTGGTTTTCTGCTAGAGGAGCTCTTCCTCTCCTTATTGCACGACCCCACAGAGCCTGCAGAGAGCCCAAAATTCCCCCAAACGTCACAATCTCTCTGCAGGCTACTACAAGAACAACATCAAGGTGGCTGTGAAGACCATGAAGGAGGGCAGCATGGATCCTGACGCCTTCCTGGCAGAGGCAAACCTGATGAAGAAGCTGCAGCACAACAAGCTGGTCCGGCTGTATGCCGTGGTCACCAAGCAGCCCATCTACATCGTGACAGAGTACATGGCCAATGGTAAAAACCCTCCTGGAGCTCCTGGCTGGGCTTTTGCAGAACCAGTTGGGTGATCTGGCCAATGCTCCCTTGCAGAATGAGGGTGGGCAGGAGGGGTGGTACCAAATGTGCAAGAAAGTGACCCAAAAGTTTGATTCTACTACAGAGAGAGACTCTCTGGGTGATGAAAAAATCATGGTGATGCTCCATTTAAAGAGTATTTAAAGTTCTCCTCTCCACTGTTCTCACTGGAAGTTTGTTCTCCCCTCATGGTGAAATTGTCCTTTCTTTTGCCCCTCTTGTTGATAAGTTTAAACAATGAATGCCCAGCGGTTTGCAACAGATCCATGCAAAAACAGAGGGGAATTTGGGCTGCTTGGGAGCTTTCCTAATGGAAGATGCTGCAGTGGACACCCATTCTGGTTCCTCAGATTTTCCTTAGGATGGAGGCAGATTTGTTGCATGTATTCAGAGAAGCACCAGGGAAAACAAATTTGTAGATTATTCAGAAGAGTTCCAGCAGTCCCTTCTCTCCTGCAGGGTGTTTGCTGGATTTCCTGAAGACAGAAGAAGGAAGCCAGCTGAGTCTCCCCAAACTCATTGATATCTCTGCTCAGGTCAGTGAACAGTAGCTGGATAAAGGATCCAAGATTTGTTATTGCCTCAGTGTGGAACTCCTGCAAGCCTGAAGTCAGTCAGAGCAAAGATTTCCAGGAGAAAAACAGCTCCTCCTGGTGTGTTCTCCTAGGGATTCTCCTCATCTCTCTCGTGTCCATGTGCATATCAGTTCTGTCCTTAGGGCAGCCCTCTGATAGCTTAGTGCAGGGCTAGAGATCTGGAGTTTGGGGCTTTTGGGAGGGTGGTTGAGTTTATTTTGTACTGATATTATTTATTTTGCTTTTCACCCTTACTCAGCAGGAAATAAAGTGGTTTTTTTCTTTTTACCAAAAAAGAAGAAGAAAAAAAAAAAGTTCAACAAAGAGACTCCCAATGAAGCAATTCTGCCCTTCTGATGATGAGGCATAAAGGATGTCCTGACTCTCAAATCTGGGAATATTGTTCTTTAGGAAAACAAACTTTTAACTTTTAAGCATCTCCAGCCTGCAAATCTTAATAGTTGCAGCTGCACTGTAACATTTTTGTCCAGAAGTGCCTCTAAACACAAATAGGGCAAAATTAGGGAAACCACATGAAGAATGAGAATGGCAAAATCACTGCATTTTGGTCCCAGCCAGCTGTTGACAGAATTTGGCTCATCCAGAGCAGAGTTGGGCTAATTAGGAAATATTGGGGGAAAAAACCCTGAAGCATCAGGCTGAATAAAGTTCTGGGATTTATCCACAAAATCACTCAGCTTCTCTTGTCAAAGTGGATTTGAGGAAACAACATGTAAAGGTTGCTGGTTCCAGCCCTTATGTAGAGTTACTTTTTAATGAATTAACAACTGGAGAATCTTAATATTTGAGGAGATGTTTTATGATAGTGAAAGACTTTCCTTCTTGCTTTAATCGGGATGAAAAGATTTTAATTCTTTGAAGAAGTGCCACCTTCTGTAATTTTTACTTTGACCTGTCAATAGGGGTGCAGAGGAACTTCTTTCTGTTCCTTCCCTCTTCACTACTGATAAATTTTCCGTATCTGCAACTTCATCACTGTTGTCTGTGAGACGTTATGGGGACAAATTCACCCTTCCTGTTCAGGGTATTCAACTTAATTACTTCCTTCCTTCCCTCCTCTCTTGAAATCCCCACTTCCCTCCCTCCATCCTTCATTGTTTCATTCCCTTCTTGAAAATTATAACCTGTGGTTTGTGTTAAATTCCTGAGGATAAGGAAAATGATCCCAGTTAATCCATATCACAGAGCCCTTGGGTTTAGTGGGAGCATTCCCTAGAAATTGGCAAGATGCATTTCTGTGCAGGAGGAAATTGCTGAAGCCAAAGCAATCTCTGGGTGACTCAGAGCAAAGATTTTGGTCAATGTTACAGAATTATGGAATCATGGAATGGGTTGGGTTGGAAGGACCTGAAAAATCATCTCATTCCACCCCCTGCCATGGACAGGGACACCTTCCACTATCCCAGGTTGCTCCAAGCCCTGTCCAATGTGGCCTTGGACACCCCCAGGGATCCAGGGGCAGCCACAGCTTCTCTGGACAAACTGCACCCCACAGCAGGACCAGGATAATTGAACACAGACCAAACCCCCACACCCCAATCATGCAACACCCACAGAAGTCACCCTCAGCATGGGGTAGGAAGGATTTTACCCATCCCTGAGGGGTTGGAAGAACAATTTCCATCCTTCCATCTCCCGCCCCAGCACCACCTCCCCAGGGCAGGGACTCAGACATTCCCTGGGTATCTCTGGGAGGAGCAGCAGGGGGAAAGGGCAGTCTACTGACCTATTTTGCCACCTGTTTATCTGTGGTGTTGGGGTGACATTGCAGCCCAACAGGCGCCCAACCCTCTCGAGTGCATTTTTTGATCCGATGACATCCATGGGAGTTAAAATTAGAGCAGTCTGGGCCGAGGCACTCGATCCTGTGGTCAGTCTTGAGGGCAAATGCTTGAAAACACTCTGGGCTGGAACAGGCCGAGCACCAGCTCCTATCTCATTAACATCAGGACAGGAAATTACATCAATTCTTCCATTTTCCACTGCAGAAACCAGCCCTTGCACTAGAGGGGTGTTGACACAGGTTAGAAATGCAGCATTGGAAAGTACGTGTGAGTATCCTGTTTGAAACCACGTGTGAGTTCTGAGGCTCATGTGAATCTGCATGGAGTGGAAAACTGCTCTGCCCTCACCCACAGGCACTTAAAAGCTTTAATAGGTGCTACCCCTATAGGGTATAGGTGGCAGGGGCTGCACACATCCACTCACCTTCCCAATAAATCCAAATCTGAGACTCCACCTGGCAGCTTCTGTCTTCTACCAATCTCCCCTTTCAACCCCCAGCACTCATCAATGAAATATTGCTGCTGTCATTGATGGAGGCTCATCACACACCAGGTACCTCAGCTAGATTTTAGGAATAAATTCTTCCCTGTGAGGGTGGGGAGACCCTGGCACAGGGTGCCCAGAGAAGCTGTGGCTGCCCCTGGATCCCTGGAAGTGTCCAAGGCCAGGTTGGACAGGGCTTGGAGCAGCCTGGGACAGTGGGAGCTGTCCCTGCCCATGGCAGGAGGTTGGAATGAGAGGATCTTTAAGGTCCTCAGGTCCCTTCCAACCATTCTATAATTCTATGATTTCCTAGTTTGATGGTTTTGTGTTTTGTTTTGTTTTTTCCTTATCTTTATTCACATTTTTAACCTGGAATATTCATGACTAAAATCCCCACTGGAGAGGTGAGACTTGTGGCAGAAACTGGGAATCCAGTGATGTGGTTTTTGCTGCAGACACAGCTCAGGGCTGTGCCTTCTGAAGAGAACAGAGTGGTGCTTCTGCTCTGCTTCACTTGGCTGCTCAGGCTGGTAAAGATGAATATTTACACCTGTACAAGGGCAGTAGCTATTTATTTACCAGGTCCACCTGTCTGTCCATCCATCCATGGGGAACGGAGGCACATCCATGGAGAGATAGCAGCAACCCCGTAAAGATGCTGTGCTTTGTGAAGGAGGGTGAGAAGCAGCAAAGATACCCTGGGGAGGTGATGATGAGGATGGGCTCTTCCTCCCCTCCCAGGTGGCAGAGGGCATGGCCTACATCGAGCGCATGAACTTCATCCACCGGGACCTGAGGGCTGCCAACATCCTGGTCTCGGAGACGCTCTGCTGCAAAATCGCTGATTTCGGCCTGGCCAGGCTCATCGAGAACGAGTACCTGGCTCAGGAAGGTGGGTGTTCTTCCCATCCTCCTGCTCTCCTGCCCCCAGGAATGCCAGGACACCGGGCTGGCGTCAGGCACAGGGCACCAGAGCTCGTGGGGCTGCTGTCAGCACCAGGCAAGAGACAGAAACACCCAAAAATCCAGTCCTGGGGGAGGCAGCAGCGCTTGGGGACTATAAAATCAATTGAAAACTGCAGAGGGAGATGAGAAAAAAGCTCTTTTTGTTCTGTTTGAGGGAGTCCTGCTGGCTCTCTAGTTGTTTGCTGGGGAAATTTGACCTCAGCTAATGAAAGCTGCTGCCTGTGGCCAGGTTTTCACAGGGTTCCATCCACAGGGAAAGAATTAACAGAGCTGGAAATCCACAAATCTGGATCCAGCAGCAGCTTCCAGGTGTGCCAGACAAACCAAACCACATCAGGTCCCTTCCACAGCAGAGGGACCGCTTAGCAAACAATAAATCATGGAATCATTTAGTTTGGAAAAGACTTCTGAGATCATCCCTGTACTGAGCTCTGATTCTGAGATAAATCATTCAGATTGCAAATGGGCTCTACAGAGCATCAGGGAAAGCAGCAGAAGTGACTGAAATAAAATAATTAAGTCAGGCATAAGTGGCCCCTACCAGAAGATTTTCAGACTTTGGAAATCTGTTTTCTTCTAGAGTTGGGATGAGATAGAATTCCCCTTAAAGAATTCTCTGAGGAAAGGAAATTTAATCGGTTTTGTGAGCTTTTTAAAATAAGATAAGAAACAGTTTTTTTCAATTTCCTGTCCCCCGAATACTTTTTGCTACAAATAATGCCCATTTCAACATGCAAAACTATTTCAGGGTATTAAAAGATCCCAAATGTAATTTGGAAACTGCCACAAGGGGAACTTCCATTTTGCTGCAAATTTTTAAGGCAGTTTTATCCTTAAGAGGAGTTTTGATGAAATCAGTATAATTCTGTTAATAACCAAAGGATCTTCTATTCCACTGGAAAACAGTTTCCATCAGCAATTTTTCCAGCTAGCTTTGCTCTGGAATAACAGCTCCCCTCTATCTGCTCTGAACAATTCTCACTTCATAGATTGCATTTCCCAATTTTGTCACTCAGAGTGTGATGTGCAACAACTGAGGCACTTATTTCACACCCTGCATTGGATTTCCAGTCCTGCAAGGACGTGTATAAATAAAAATGTGGTTTCCTCTGCAGTGTAACATGATCAGTTCCCACTTATCAGGGTGGTTTTGCTGTTGGTTGTTTTTTGTTTTGCTTTGTTATTTTTTTTTATCTTAGCTAAATTGAAACTGCAACCTTATGGTCATTGCTACCCACAGTGGGTTAAGCAAGAACATGATGGACAAAATAAAATGGGGCTTATTTTGGTTTTAATAAAACTATGCACCTTCAAGGACTGGGGAATTTATATTTGCTGTAATATTTATGCATTTCTTCTAAAAACAGCCCCCTTCTGATAAGTAATTCCACAGAATCACACAGTACCAGGTTGGAAGGAGACCTCAAGGATCATCTGATCCAATTTTTCTTGGCGAAAGCCAAAGAAGTTTTATACAGAATAAAATCCTACGGTTGTTGTCCCACAATAAATCTGCCAAATTGGTTTTGAGTATTCCATCCAGCTCTGGGATGGAGCAGGTCCAGAGGAGGACATGCAGATAATCAAAGGGCTGGAGCCCCTTTCCTAGGGAGAACCACAGAATCATAATCAACAGCCCAAGGGAGCCAGGGATCAGTTTGGGGAATTGCTTGTGGGAGGTGAGGAAGATGCTCTAGCTCCAGGAGTTATTTCCCTTTGTTTCCTCTGGGACAGGTGCCAAATTTCCCATCAAATGGACAGCTCCAGAGGCCATTAACTATGGGGTTTTCACCATCAAATCTGACGTGTGGTCATTTGGGATCCTCCTGACAGAGATCATCACCTACGGCAGGATCCCTTATCCAGGTACGGGATCCCTTATATGGGTACAGGATCTCCTAAACAGGTACAGGATCCCTTATCCAGGTACAGGATCCCTTATCCAGGTGCACAATCCCCTGTCCAGGTATAGGATCCCCCAACCAGGTACAGGATCCCCTAAACAGGTACAGGATCCCCTATCCGTGTACAGGATCCCCTGTCCAGGTACAGGATCTCCTAAACAGGTACAGGATCCCTTATCCAGGTGCACAATCCCCTGTCCAGGTACAGGATCCCCCAAACAGGTACAGGATCCCCTATCCATGTACAGGATCCCTTATCCATGTACAGGATTCCCTATCCAGGTACAGGATCCCTTATCCAGGTACAGGATCCCCGATCCAGGTATAGGATCCCCTATCCAGGTGCAGGATCCCCTATCCAGGTACAGGATCCCCTATCCAGGTACAGGATCCCTTATCCAGGTGCACAATCCCCTGTCCAGGTACAGGATCCCCCAAACAGGTACAGGATCCTCTATCCATGTACAGGATCCCCTATCCAGGTACAGGATCCCTTATCCAGGTGCACAATCCCCTAAACAGGTACAGGATCCCCTAAACAGGTACAGGATCCCCTATCCATGTACAGGATCCCTTATCCAGGTACAGGATCCCCGATCCAGGTATAGGATCCCTTATCCATGTACAGGATCCCCTATCCAGGTACAGGATCCCCTATCCAGGTACAGGATCCCCTATCCAGGTACAGGATCCCCTAAACAGGTACAGGATCCCCTATCCAGGTACAGGATCCCTTATCCATGTACAGGATCCCCTATCCAGGTACAGGATCCCCTATCCAGGTACAGGATCCCCTATCCAGGTACAGGATCCCCTAAACAGGTACAGGATCCCCTATCCATGTACAGGATCCCTTATCCATGTACAGGATTCCCTATCCAGGTACAGGATCCCCTATCCAGGTACAGGATCCCCTATCCAGGTACAGGATCCCCTATCCAGGTACAGGATCCCTTATCCATGTACAGGATTCCCTATCCAGGTACAGGATCCCCTATCCGTGTACAGGATCCCTTATCCAGGTACAGGATCCCCTGTCCAGGTACCGGGTGCTGGGAATACGGGATGAGTGTCCAGGCACTTCCAAGGATCCCGTGTTGCTCCTGGCTCATCCCGAGGTGCTCACTGAAGTGTGCCCAGACACACACAGCTGTCTCCTGGAATCACAGAATTGTTAAAGTTGCAAAAGGCCCCTAAATTGGATTAACCCAGCGCTGCCAAGGCCACCACTGCCCCATGTCCCCAACTGCCACATTTACACATCTGGCAAATCCCTTCAGGGACGGGGACTCCAGCACTGC